GTTATTAGCGCCGAGGGAGATGGGGATCGTGGGCGTGCCAGGGCAACTTTCAAATGCGTTTAGCGCTGATTACTTACGTTCGGGCCAATTGAATGGAAATGTCGAGCAGCAGTTCGCCCACGGTGGCCAATTCCTCTGGCTTCCAGTCAGACTTTGGCTGAGCCACATCTGCAAGAGACGCATGGGTAAATTATAAATGCATATTCACGCTTTCAATCGAAATTCCACAAGTCAAATCTGAGAAAAATTTAACTGAAGCTAGCTTTGAGTCCAAGAAAACGTTTTCATATTTAATAAAAACAAAATAGGGAAAAATAAACACAAATAAAGTCCCTATTGATAAGGAAAATTATTTTTAGAAATGTTTTAAATAACCAGTTGACTTGCTATTAATAAAGATCCTTCTACAAATCCTAAACTATAAAATTTGACAAAAATAAAAATATGTCTTATATTTCCTTTAGAATAATGTTTTTCCTTTTACATAGGTCTTACTGTACCAAATAGAGGATTAACTTACGTATACGCTTGCGTGCATCCAAGTAGGCCGCATTGATGGCATCGTAGGTGATGCAAGTGCCCGGTCCATTGTTGTAGGGGTTCCTGTAAGTAGATCGAAGTGAAAGTGACTTAAATTTACAATAAGAGGCAATTTGTCGCTTATCACATGCTAACCACACAACCCACCCACGCTTTCGAGAAGGCCTGCGCACTGACAGATAATAAAATCATTTCCGGGCCAACGCATAAAAGAGCCACGTTGAAAGAACAAAGCCAAGTCCCCGATTCAGTTTAGAACTTAACTTGGTCAAAGAAACATCGTCAGGATGAAGCAAGAAAATCTAGAGCGGACTCGCAGTAGACTTCAGAAAATATTAGAAGCCCATAAACCCTATTATCTGGATAAGAGTCTTGAGGACCTATTGCCCAAATCCTGCAAAGGGTCTCTTCTTAACAAAAAACTAATAAAGTGGATTAAATTAGTGTTGCTTACTATTTTTATTTTATTTGGTGTAAAATACTATTATGAGGAAATGCAGGGAAAGGTAGTAAACTTCTGTGAACAAAAATAATCCCAGCTTCAGAAATTTATTTAAAAGCACAATAAATCTAAAATGTTGTTTTTCTTTTAGAATTGTGTTCTTTCTCTGCCACGCCCACTGCGTTACGCTCTTCGACCTCCCGAAAGTTGTGATTTTTGTGCCAATATTAAAAGTGTGCCGCGTCTTCAAAATGTAAACCCCAAAGATTTTGAGAAAAAGTTCGCTTACAGTGCAACCCCAGTTATTGTCAGTGATGCCACTAAAAATTGGACAGCAGTTTCGGTAAATATTTTAAAAATAGGAAACATAATGATTGCTAGTTACAACATATGCATATTTCAGTTATTCAACTATTGGTATTTTCGCGACGTTTATGCCAGGGCCAAGCAAAAGCAACACATAAGGGAGTGCCAGTTCTTGCCTTATAAAACAGGCTTCTTTGATATCTATGAGGCTTTGGATATGCCCAAAGATCGGGTGGAGTTAAAGCCTGGTGAGCAGCCCTGGTATTTTGGTTGGAGCAATTGCCATGCGGAAACCGCAGAGGAATTTCGGAGGCACTATGGAAGACCCTTTTTTCTGCCCGAAGGTTCTGAAAATAATGCTGTCGATTGGTTTTTCATTGGTACCTCTGGTTTGGGGGCACAAATGCATGTAAGTTTTGAGATATAATTCATGATAACAAATTACTTTTCAGACTTTGACAGTTAATTTATTTTGAACTACAATCTGTTAATTAATTGTCTTTATTGAAAAATGAAATGATTGGTATTGGTCGAATTTTTACAAGGTTATTTACCAAACACAATGGATCGTGGTCACTAAAAAATAAAGTTCGTTATTAAAATACCCCTCCATTCTAAGACAATTACTAATGTTTATTTGCAATCTGTTTACTAACTTTTAAGTTTATGCTTTATAACAGTAGCCTTAAATGCATTTTTGGTGCCGTAATTCCAACAAAAAGTATTTATTTCGATTTGGTAATAGCTAAGTTGTTATAAATTTGTTCCTACCAGTTTCTTTAAAGCCGTTAAAAACTCTGTTTAAAATTGGGAAATATTAAAACACAATCTCTTTAAGAAACTAGTATTATAATCGTATTTGCATAGTTTTTTTGATGGATGTGAAATCTCTTTTGACAGATTGACAATGTGAGACTGCCTTCGTGGCAGGCTCAGCTGGCGGGCAGCAAGCGGTGGCTACTGGTTCCACCACCGGAGTGCTACCTGCAGTGCCAGCGATTCGATGTGGTGGTCCAGCAGGGCGATATAAGTGAGAAGTTACCCGAAATAAGCCCTCAAATGCATATTACTAATGTTACGACCCCCCATAGTTGTGTTGGACACGAACAAATGGTACCATCAGACCTTTGTGCAGCCGGGAGCCATCAGTTTGACCATTGGGGCTGAATACGACTAAGTTACAAACAAAATTAACTGGCTGCTGGGGGTTTTTCCTCGTGACAGGAAACGGCTGCCCCAAACGTCTCCATTCAGTTTGGCCAGCGGGACAAATATGGCCAACTGTTACTGTTACAGTAACAAACTTAACTTTAACATTGCCATATTACTCTGCTTTTGCCAGCCGGTTTGTTAATTAAATGCCAAAAACACGCAAATTTCTTATGTCGGGCAGCTGGGGCTCCGCGGCCCGGGAAAATCTAACCAAAAATGGGGGCCACAGCCACTTCCTCGAATGGTGCGACATGTAAAACGCGTGTCAGGCGACAACGATGCGTGTTAACAATGCGTAAGTATTAAGTAATTACAACAACAGCCGGAGCAACTGCATCGGCAGGAGCAGCGGATTCAGAAACTATGCCCACCAATTGCACGGCAAACTGGCGGAGACATTGCAAACACACGCAATGCAAAACCATTTCGGCTAAAAGCAACATTTTTCACGAACTTGCCGTCATTTTACCCTGTCACTGGGTAATTTTCCATGGCTTTGCATTTTTCGTTTAAAATCTATTAAGGCTTTTAAGTGGGTCATTTTTGAGTGGCTTTAATTTGGGCTCATGCTAAAATATGAGCTATTAGAAAAGAGTTTTTTTCCAAAGTGATAACTTACATTTTGAATGAGTTCTTCCAAATTAAAAATGATTCTGTTAAATTCATCTAGACTGGATCACGAAATCTATTTATTTTAGGTGACCAACTGACTATATGATGAAATCTATTTTTAAGGTGACCAGCTTGATAAAATGATATACCATTTTAGAAGAATATTCTTAATTTAATTTAAACTATTATTTTTTATTTGTACAGAGCATCTAGTTGCCGCCTTTTGGCAAGTCGAAATATTCGTACATATTTCTTGGGCAAATTTGTCAAATTGAAATCGAAAATGGCAATGTCTGGCACTTAACTGGTCTGCCTGTTAATTTTAACCAGAAAGCAAGTCGAGAGCACTCTCGCACAAAATTTACGGGACTCGGGTAAGTTCAATGTGCGCATAGCCAGAGTTTTGGGCCAACTAGAAAGTGGCTTGCATGCGGCACGCACTGCCACTTTGGGTCCAATCGAATCGAATCGAAGCGAATCCCCAGCACTTCTCCACTCCTTGCGATCCAACTCGTCCCGCCCCAGACACGGACTTGTACTTGTTATCCTGATTGTAAAGTAAAAACTAATGTTATGAATCCCGGGCCGGCGATCGCAGGTGCGCGGCTGCGAAACGCCAACACTTCCTGATCGGTATTGAGTTGCAGCGGTCCAGCGCACGCGGCGTATGCGTAATATTGTGAATAATTGCAAAAGCGTGTCGTAAACACGCCGTGCAAAATATTCAAATATCATTTATCTATGCGGCCTTTTACAATCTTTTTATTTTTTCGTGGTATTTTTTTCAGTCGGTGAGAGACTCTGGGGAGCTACTTCGCTTACGCAGACAGTGATGATGTTGGGGCAGATACAAAAACAGATGGAGATACAGATACAATTGCAGACTTTCAGCAGACGGAGCAGAGGCCGCAACGAAAGTGGCCCCTGCCGAAACCTGTATTTAACTTTTAAGTAGGTTGTTGCGGCCAATTTTTCAGCATTTTTCCCCAACCGACTCTGGTTCAACTGACCAGGTTCAATAGCCAGGCCAAAGTCAGCGATAACGACTTGGCAAGGCTCACGTTTTCGATGCCCGACGACCCCAAAAATTAGCTCCACTTCGCGGTGACCCCCAGAAAATCGAAGACAATCGAGCAATTGAACAATTTGCAATCTCTATCTGGATCGTGTGACATTTAAAATATGTGCATCTAACTGCTGGCATAAGTGCTGCACTGGTGAAAATTCCTATTTACTTGGCTTCTCAATTCTTGGCTTGAGATATCTTCTAGATACTAGATTGTTATTTTAGTTTTCATTTTACTTTATGGTTGATTTTCCTGTGCAGTCTGAAGTTCAGTTCAGGAGGCATTGTGTGTTGGCAGCGTTTCAAAGTCACTTTTCGAAATCATCTCGAGACAAAAGTTTGCCATCAATGGCTGCTGTGCAGCCCCACGGCAGCTCAGGTGTTTTTATTTTAGTTAAGCATTTTTTCTCTTCATTTTTCCTTTTGGCATCTGCAAGTGTTGCAATGCCATTTGTTTTGGGTTGCCATTGCTGTTGCCTTGCTATTTTTGTTTGCGGCTTTTTGTCGTGCGGTTTTGATTTTTTTCGTTTACTAATAAATCGCGCCGGTCTGTCAGGTGACTTCATGATGCGTCCGTCTGCATCACATGACTCTGAGCCCAAAAAGCCTGTCGTCGCCGATTCGAGGCCAAAAACCATTTGCTGATTGCCGTTAACGAGTCGCCGTGACAGCGAGTGAAACGTAAGAAGCCATCATCACACCTGAGAACCCATTTTCCGATGGCATATGGTTTTTTATCAAAGGTCTGTTTTCTAATACCCACTATGGGGTATATAAGATGGTTGGTTTACAGAACACTAATCATTGAAGTGCCGGCTAACAACATGATACCTTTAATAATAGTACTATTGGTAACACTTTCCACTGCGGATCTCAAGAGGATTGCAGATAAGTCGCAGTGTCCCAAAACCTGTGACTTGAACTATAAGCCGGTGTGTGCCTCCCGAATCGGAGGCAATTCCCCCAGTACTTGCACCTTTCCCAACCATTGCACCCTAAAATTGTACCTATGCAACAGCAGATTAGGTGAGTTAAGGAAGGTGAGTTAATATAAGAATAGGATATTATAACTAAAGTATTTTTTTAGACTGGTCAATGGACAGCAATCAACCATGTCAATGGCCCGTTGGAAGCTGCGAAGAAATCGCAAATTTCTTACGCAATAAAAAGGATCTATTGGTGGGGAAATCAAAGAAAGTTGTTACTGAGAACAAAAAGAAGAAGAAAAATTGAATAAATGTTTAAGCATTTAGAAACCCTGATTAAGCTGCAATGAAGACGTCGGCTGTCAAATGTAACCACTAACTTAGCCACTCGTGTTCAGCAACAGATGCAATCGCCTCGCACAGCGGGCCCCCGCCATGAAATATATATATTTATCTGGGTAGTATGGGAATATCCTTCCCTAGGCATTGCAACTTGGAGACGTCAACGTCAAAAGGCGGTTGCCGAATGATTGCCGCTGCTGTTTGTGCTGCTAATGATTGGCTCAAAGCTCGTGTGCTGTGTTGTCGTAGGTGTAGAGCCATGTTGCCACCGCTCAAACAAGCTGAAACAGCACAAACCAAGATTTATGGGTGTCAGTCGGGCAGTCTAACACTGGGAAAAAATCCTAAGCTAAAAGGGGGAAATAACATAGTACTTTACCAAGGGGAATTCAGTAAAATTTTTGGTTTTACACTACTTTTAAACATTATTAAAGGAAATTAAAATCGAGATCATATCATATCATGTATTATCTTATATTTCTTGTCTGTTTTTTTTTCTCTGCACAAAGTTTCGGTGTCAACGTTCAAATATTTAAGCCTCAAACATAACCCAGAATGCCACCGAGCCACTTTTTCTGCAACGGCACACTAGACACACAGTTTCTATTTGTACTCACAAAGTGCCGCGGAATAGATTCACGTTGTAGTCGTAGACGGAGGAGCGACCTGGTCCGGACAGCAGAAGTGCACAGTCGGATCCGTGGGCCGTCTGGAGCTGCTCGCCAAACTGATGGTATTGCGCATGCGCCACCGCCGCCAGAGACAGTAGAAGTATTCTGCAAAGAAACATGAGCAAAAGTAGGCAAATTAACACGTTATGTAGGTAAACATGCAGCTAAAGCGTCACGCCCATTTGACAAACAGAAAAACGCCTGCGGCCAAAGGCATTAATCAGTCAAACAGTCGGCTTGTTGGTAAAGTTGGGCCTACACAGCCTAAAAACTGATTTATCACTAAGAAAAGATTTATAGAGAACTCAAACTTAAGCATGTTTTTTGTAAGTTTTAGGTGGTCAATATTTTTAGAGACAAGATTAAAGTATCACAAGAATATTCACCATGTATAAGACAATTTCCAATGCAAAGTTTTTAAAATTCTTTAATCTGGTTCAAAGATTTGACTTTCATAAGCAAAAGTGAAATATTTCACAGCATACTTTTCGCTAATTAAAATAACTTGAATTTTCGAGGTATTTGTAACGAAGTCCATATTTCTAGAACCATTGTTACTCAATGATTAACAGACATTTTCCCATATGCAAATTCCACTTTAACTGTAGGTTGCAGCTGTCTTTCGATCGACAGCCCATGGTGCCCATGTGCCAAGTTGCATATTGTTTTTTGGACTCGCCATTGTCTGGGGCGTTTCTTTATCTGTCAAAAAGGGGCGGCTGGGAAATTCGACATCTGACATCTGGCAACCTTGCTTTTATTTTGCGGCTTTAATGCGCGCAGATTTATGACTTGCCTCGCGTGTTAATCGCTTGTTAGCTTTTGTCGCCTCGCTCAAAGCGAAAGCCAAAAACAAAAAACCCCACATTTACGGGCAATTGTTAACGGCTTTTGATAAGTATTGATATTGATTGCTATTGTTATTACCGCCACTGGCTAACAGTGAAAGTAAGGCATAGTATAAGCCATGCCCCTTTTTTATATAACCGAAAACAGGGTTTGCCTCGAATACCCTTTAACATATTTTGTTTTAATTAACTGGAATTGGTTAATTATAATTTGGAAAACAATTAATTACTTCATTTGTTGAGATCACCTTGAGTACGTGAACTCCATAACTTGTTTGACCAGCGTGCTTTGAATTAATTGTATGGTTTTAATGGAGATTTTAAAATCGATAGAACGTAAGTGTAATAAATATTGAAAAGAATTACAAATTTATATTTTTAAATAATTCTATTCATATGCAAATTTACTTTAATATTTCTACAAATTTACTGGATATTATAAGGGAATCACATAGTATTTTTGCAATTTTCTTATGACTGTCGAAGATTGTTTATAATAAGTACCTAAAGTTGTGATAGCTGACGATGTACTCAGCAATAAATAGTGAAAGTGTTTTATTTTTTGTATTTTCCATCTATCGAGGGTCTCATTTTGACGAAGGGCACAGCTGCCTGGCTATAAAAGTTGCTTATATAATCGCCAAGGGAAACAATAACGCACTTAAGTCCTTTCACTTTTCGTTTGACAGTTTGGTCTTTCTTTTTTACTGACCAAGTAAAGTGAGATACCTTTTAAGTGTATCCCATTACCAGGGTTTACTGAACTCGCTCTCCGGATGAAAAGATTAAAATGCACCTGCTTGCATTTAATGATTAGTGAATGAAACATCTGTTTGTTATTGATTCGTTCTGGCCTATAAAAAGCATCTTTTTCGGTATCATGATCATTCGAAAGCACAGAACTTTTCGCTATACAACATGAAGTGTGTGGGTATATTTTTGATTATATCCGTGGGATTACTGGCCTTCGCTCAGGCAGATTCGGGTAAAGGAAGGTGTCCACGAGCCTGTACAAGGGATTATAGGCCTGTTTGTGCCGAACTGCGAAGGGGTATTGTACGTCCTATCATAAGCCGTTGCACTTTTTCCAATAGGTGCGGCCTAGACAATCAAAGATGCAGGACCAATCAAAGTAAGTTAAATATTAATAAATAAAAGGGTATATGGTATACTAACTATAAATATTTTAATAACAGATTGGGTGGTCGTCGATGAGAGGCGCAAATGCTGGCGTGAAACCCCCGATTGCGATGAGCTTCGAAAATCCGCTGAACTTTAAAAGTCTTTGTGCCCACAATAAACCATATCTTTCCCGCTCATATTACATCTGACTTTGATTAATCACAGGCCCAGCAAATAAACAGAAGACTTGCTCACTCTTGACCAATGTGCGGTCATAATTTTGGGCTTTCAGCTCACACGATTTGCAACTCTTTACGCTCCTCGCTTTAACTGAGTTAAATGATTATTAAATCTGGTTACCAGCGAGTTGCTTTCATTTCGGTTTTTCGCACAGCAGTGAATTTGGTTCAAGGCTGCCCTTAAAATATTTCGAATCCGTGTGGGGAACGTGTTTATGATCGCCATTCGGAGTGCCTAGTTCATTAGCCATCATGACAGGGCAATTAGAATGCAAACAAAACGCACTCGCCCACACAGATTGTGTGTTGAGTACTTTATTTGGCCGACATGCCACGCCCGAGACAAAAACGCGTGCCACATGGGGGCAGTGTTGGCTTTTTGCAGATTTAATTGCCGAACCCCAGATGCAGATCAGAGTTGCGGGCCACTGCGTAAAGTCAATTAATTGTTGCTCGCCTTTGGGGCGACAGCTTTTGTGAAAGGCCAGCACGCAACGTCCTTCTGGCCAACCTGCCAACCGGCCAAAATCCATACTACCAAACTGCATATACGTATGCACATTTCTGCAATTTATGCACACTCGCATGCATATGCAATCTTTACACCTGCCCGCAAGAGTCAATTAATTTCGGTTCGTCGATGGCTGGCCAAACGACTTTTACATAAATCGCAGCACTGGCTTATCTAAGGCACTTGGTCACCGCAGTCAGTTTCCTTCGGATGACACACATATTGCGTTGTGGGAAATTCGACCTTTTCGGGGGACTGCAACTCCCTACTCAAAACAAAATATTTTTTTACGGGGAATCGCCTCTCCATACTCACAAAAAATTATATTGAAAAATCACTTTTAAAAACCAAAAAATTGCTAAAGTTATAGAATATTGCTAATAATAAAATCATCATATAAAAATATCATCATTTTACAAAAAAATCATTTAGGGTTAGTTAATAATTTTGTGGTATTCATTAAGATTAATTTCAAAAGTACAATCCTTAAAATGTTTAAACTTTAGAAGTCATATAATTGAAATTTTTGTTATACCACATTGAAAATAAGTTATTAAATGTTTTAGCATTTTGTAAACTATATAAGTACTTATTTTATGTGTAGTGGCAAACAAAGAACGGGCGCAGTTGCCCAATTATAGTCGCCATATAGGACGATCCCTGCCATATCTGTGCATATTTTAAAGCGCATCCAAAAGTTGACATTTGCTAATAATATATTTTTTCCAAAGCCAGTGCTACGTTAATTGCCCGATGCATTGTTAGACTTTGTGGGGAGCTGCCGATGGTATCTTGGGGTTTGCTCTGATGCTACTTATGTCATCTTGGCAACTGAATACCTGGGAGCAGGGCCCCCAGAAAAGGGGCGTACCGCAGGTCCATAGGACTTTTTGTTTGGATCTTTCTTTGTCTACAGCTTGCCACATCACTCGTATTGTTGAGTTTGTCTTGTATGTAAATTGCCTCCTCTCGGTTAATTTTCGAAGTCATGTAAATGTGTGGAAATTACTTTTGTAATGCACAGAGAAATGAATAATTAATATTCGCAGCATTTTCATTGATAGTGATTAAGTATGGTTCAATGAAAAAATGACAGAAATCTGAAAAGGCTTAAGATGCCTTAACTTTATCTTAAGCTGTTTACTGGTTTTCATTTGTGACGACAGTCGCTTTCGTTGATAGTGATTAAGTGTGCTGAAGTGAAATATGAGAGATAGCTTTTTATTGCATCTCAAATCTTATAGTTTTTACGAAGGTGTTGGCTGCGATTTTTGTATCTGCCAATCGAGGTTTATTGGAAGGCCTTTACTATAAATTCACACCGATTTTACTCATAGAGCTCAGATGACATTGTGATAACTGAGTGGAATTTATGATTATCTTTATAGCTCAAACTTCCCTTGTGTCATATATATTTAATCTGTAACCCGACTGCTTTTGTTGACTGTTTTAAGTTATTTTGTTAATTTAAGTTTTATTTTATTTTCCTTCCAAATATGTAATTTATTTAATAAAGTTTTGTCTAAAAATAGCTCATATATAGTCTGCTGACCTCAACTTCTGCATCTGTTGTTTTTAAGAGCAAGCTGCTTGCAACTCTAAACCTCTCATTAGCGATCATTTATCATTTGACTTTAACTAACCAATACAGAAACCGCATTTGAATAAAGCCAAGTTAAAGCCACTCGATCGCCACGAGCTAGAGTGCCGGCAATCAGCGATGTGCAAATATCGCGGTATGCCGTTGCACTTCTATGTATCTATCTATCCATCTATCCGCTCGCTTAACCCATGCTGAGTGGATCTCGTTTCT